CAAATTCACTGCATTTTCGCATTCAATCCCTTCACACAAAACACTTGCATTTTGTGACAAAAAACACTTAATTTCATGTAAACTTTGACACAAACTCTTCAAATCATTTAATTTATTGAATTCACACTTCATTTTATTCAATATAATCTTATTCTTAAAAATAAAATAAAAATTTCTTTAAATATGATTAACAAGTACTGTATTTATAAACAATAATTAATGCAATATTTGGCGCACTTCTAAACAAAAGAAACAAAACCTGTTTTTGAGTGCAAAACACAATTCACTTTCAATTCTCGCAAATAGTTTCTAATTATAGAATATCTGAGGGAATGGGAGGTCAGGCAATAGGCACTGGACTTTAGTTATGTCTAACAATTAACTATAAAGTCCAAAGTTTATGGTATAATATATTCCTAAACATAATGAAAACTTTTGTATTATACTCTAAAAATTAAGATAATTACAAAAATGATAAAACTTGTAATACTATATAACTTATTAGTTTAAAGTTTTAAAAAGTTTATTTTTATTATATATTCATATTATGTAACCGTTGTATCAATTTTTTTATTGTCATTTGTCATAATATAAAATAGACCAAAAAATACAAACTAATATTATTTTATGAGGTAAATATAATTTTAACAAATAAATGTACCCGGTAATTTATTTAATTTGAAAGGGATTTAAGGCAAAGAGAAAGGGGGTAAATAATTTTTGGACGTAATGTATGCCACGCGTGAAAGAAACGCTTTTCAAAAAACATAAACAAATATTTTGTAACAAAAATCAAAATGAAATTTTATTTTTTGTAATTTCATTACTTTATTATAAATCGTTTGTTTATTAATATAGTGTTATATAAGATAAGAGGACAGGTATGTCGGGCGCGGGTGGTGTGTCGGCCAGTGATGAGAGGTTTGTAATGATTTTGTACTCAATTTTGGCATAAATTGTGTGAAAATGTTAACAATATTTGTGTGAAAAGCAGTGAAAGACTCACTTATGAAGCGATTGTCGAGTCGTTTGTCACAAACAATGCATTCAAATGTGATTACAATGAATGCGACAAAAGATTTTCATCTCAACAACGATTGGATTCACATAAACAGAGAAGACATGTCTCATCGACTTCTCAACAACCGGAGAGACCATTACGAGCACCAGGTGTTAGGGAACACCCCGTCAGTGGAAACCCACCACAAAGTAAACGCCGAAAACAGTCACACAGTGAAGACATACCTGCGCTCAACATTTCAAAGACTACATCTCAAGAGCCAACCATTTCAACGACTACTTCATTGGACAACACGTGCCATAAGTATGTCTTACGAGACAATCGATTAAATCTCACTTATTATCCATTTATTGGTTTATTTTAAAAGCAGTGATATTCAAGACATTAGTGAAGACACTGATTGTGTGGTAAACAGTGATTCAGATTCTGATATTGAAGTCATGATTGAAATACCGGCGCTCAATGCACAAGAGGACCGCTCAGGGATAGTATCAGATGATTGCATACAAGTGCCGGACCCCTCACAACACACCACTAATAACACACAAAATACGGAACCATTTGATCCGAGACTCAGGAATAGGTCGACCCCTTCCAGCACTGCCAATTGGTTTGTGTTTATCACTCATATTATCTAATAAATAATATTTGGTTTAAAAATACTTTTAGTGTCCAAAATAACTGTGATTTAAGCACTGGTGAGACAAGTGATGCCAATATCCCTGCCTGTGATCTCTTGGGCTGCAAATGGACTTTCAAACACAATCACAAACAGACAGACAATACACGCGACAAATCTACCGATAAGTATGTGTTTCACAGTTAATGACAATTATTTATGCCATCAATCTCTTCGCAGTCCCGATATTACTGTTGTTAAGACTGAGACCACAACCCATACCTCAACAAAATATATACATCTAAAGGCTACCGACCGGCCAATGCCACTGCCATCGCCTACCAAACTGTATGTCTCTACTAATGAACTGTTGAAACATTTATTTAATTTATTTTTATTCAAAAACAAAACAGTGATTCCGATAGCAAGTCATATACCTGTGATATGCCTGACTGTGGGAAACAGTTTACGAGTAATTTTGTGTTAATTCAACACAAATATGTTGTCCATAAAATACCCGACGCTTATTATATCTCCAACACTACGCCTACCGTTCCCTGGCCGAGCTACCCTTCCAGCGCGCTCAACACTACGCCTACCGCTACCCCTACTTCTACCCAACTTTGGCCAAACACTTGCAACTCGTAAGACATTTAAGACATTAAGAAGTTTACAATTATTTTTAAACATGTATTTCAAACACTATTAGTTCGTCGAATAGTTACATCCCTGTGCGGGACCCTCGGCAACAAACCTCGGTATTTGTATGCTACCGCTGTGGACAGGTGTTTAGTACCAATGATGCCTTGAATGAGCACCGAATGGCCGTCCATATGAAGCCAAATCATATCCAGCCTTACGTTTGCAATATTTGTAACGAAGGCTTCACTCGTGAGGTCGCCTACGATAGACACAAACACACTGCTCATACAGGCGTACCTCACAATCCATTCCCAATACCCGAGTACTTCCAGAAAAACAAAAAGGTCGCCCCACAGGACATGGCGTTCGTATGCGATATCCCTGATTGTGGCAAACGGTTCATAAACGGACACATTTTGAAAACACATAGACGTCTGGACCATAAGGTGGGGTCGGGCTATATATGCCTTCGCATAGACTGTACGAAAGTATTTGAGACCAAATTAGAGCTCCAGACCCATCATCGCAAGGACCACAAGCAGCTGATGGACTTTGTGTGCGATGTCGGGGGCTGTGGGCAGAGGTTTTTTAACGGACAACAGCTTATGGATCACAAACTCAATCACCATCAGGTTGTCTGTACTCAACCACCCGTAGGGGGAATAGGCTTTCGATGCGATTGTGGAGTAGTGTTAACCACACAGCAGGAGCTCGACGGCCATCAGATACTCGATCATTACAGGGCTCGCGCCCACACGCCCGCCCCTCCCCGTCCACTTACACGACATGTGAACCTAAATGAAGTGAAATGTGATAAATGCGGCAAAAGTTTTAAGACGCAGACGGCGCTTAACAGCCATACGTTGGACGTCCATAAGGGTAGCAAAGATGATAGCAATGAACTCGTGTGGCATTTGTAGCAAAGTGTTTGGCGCCCATTGCGAGTGGGAAAGCCATGTGAGAAGTGCACATAAATCGGACCCAAAACCAAAACCATTTAACTGTACGATGTGTTGGGAAGCCTTTGATAGTGCAGTTGCTCTGAAAAAACATATAACTTGTGTTCATAATAAAGGAAAACCCTTTATGTGTGATGTCTGTGGTAAGGGTTTCAAAGGTGCAAATGATTTGGACCAACACTCAAATGCCAAAAAACACTTTCCTGTCGGCCATACACTTAACAAACCTATAGTTTACTCATAAACTGTTTAAATTAATTTGATTGTATAATATTTAAATTATTGTTATAAATTTAGCAATATAATGTAAATGATATCTATTTTTGGTTAAATATGTTTTTATGGTTCATTCTGTATTAAATTATCGTAAATATTTTAATACAAAATCATTACGGTAAATGTTAATAGTTAAATTTTTGTATTATTGTCAATATTACGGTAGTTTTATAAAATTTTTCTAATTTTCGTGTAAAAACTGTTCATTTTCTAAAATCATTAGTTGTCAAATGTTTTGCTTTTGTTACAATTAGTGAATTGGCAAATTTTTATTTAATTATTTTTTTATAAATCAATTTGTTAAGCATCTAATTGTAAATTAAAATATTTTACGATAAAAGTTTTTATGCATGCATTTGAAAGGGGAGCTAATTTCATGACTAATTTCATGACGTTGTTTGTGTGTCACGTGAATCCCATGTCTTTCCATTAGACAAACAATTTGTGACTAAATTTGAAATTTAAATAAAACAATAATTTATATATTTTTGTGATTTAATTGTCAATTATTTGTTTCAATTTGTTTCATAGATATTGTGTGGTATGAGACCAGAGGGTAGATATGTCTGAGGCGTTGGGCGTCGTGTTGACCGGCGATCAGAGGTTTGCATTGAATTTGTACTCAATTTTGTCATAAATTGTGTGAAAATGTTAACAATATTTGTGTGAAAAGCAGTGAAAGACTCACTTATGAAGCGATTGTCGAGTCGTTTGTCACAAACAATGCATTCAAATGTGATTACAATGAATGCGACAAAAGATTTTCATCTCAACAACGATTGGATTCACATAAACAGAGAAGACATGCCCTCATAGTCGACCTCCCGGTGACCGACATCTCATCAACCACTCCACTACAGGAGAGACCATTACGAGCGCCCGATGTTGTGGAACGGGGTGTCAGTGGAAGTCTACCTCAAAGTAAACGCCGAAAACATTCACATAATGAAGACATATTGACGCCAATCAATGAATCCATTGCTACGGAAACCAAAGCACCGGATGGTAGGGAACGGTTGTCGACTTGGCCTCAAATGCCTAACATTTCCAGTACTGACACAAACCTAATGACACGCTTTCGTCACAAGTATTCAGACATTAATTTTAGAGATTATTTATAACTAATACTATATTTATTTTAACCAAAACTAGTGAATCGATTAATAAAAGTCAATATAATAGTGAAATTCTGGCGCATAAAACGCCTGTCCCTCAAGAGTCCACTATTTCAAGCACCGACACCACCACTGCCTCATTGGATAACACGTGCCATAAGTATGTTTTACGACATCAATTAAATCTTAATTTTAATCCAATTACTGATCAAAACCAATGGTTTATTAAATAGTGATTCAGATTCTGATATTGAAATTATTGCTCAAATAGTGACGATCGCTAACACATCAAATACTATCCAAACGTAAGTGTTTTACACTTGATTTAGACATTTATCGGGTATTAAACACATGAATTGATTTGAAAGGCCATCGAAGACAACACTCAATGAAAGCCCGGAGTTAGAGGACGGGGAACTCATATCAGACACAACTAACACTTCACTCACTGATGCAAATCATAAGTACGTATATCTTATTAGATAATTAAATCTCGTTTTAAAACGATTTATTAATTATAAATTTTATGGTTTCATTTACAAAATAGTGATTCAATGGATACACAAACGGAACCATTGGAACCAATGGATTCCAAACCCAAGAATATGAGTACCACTACTGGCACTGCTATTAATAATAGGTTTGTGTTCATCACTCATTATACCGTACATTAAATATTATTTTAAATATTGATATTTTGCTTCAAAATATTACGGTATAAGTGATTTGATTACTGGTCAGACATCTGATTGCAATACATCTTTCTGTGGTCTCTTGAGCTGTAAAATCCCTTTCAAACACATTCACAAACAAAAGCCGATTACTGTTAAGACTGAGACCACAACCCATACCTCAAAATACTCGCCACCGAGTGATCCAAGAAAACCAAAGCCAAAGCCTACTGTCATCTGTGATATCCCATACTGTGGGCGACTATTCCGGAGTAATCTTGCGTTAAATGAACACAAATATTTTTTCCATAAGATCCCATACTCTACCAATACGTCCAGTACTTCCAACACGTAAGACATAAAATACCAGATAAACGGCAATATATTGTAAATTCATAAAATTTTTTATATTTTTTAACAATCATTTAGTTTATTAGTTTGCGGTCGCCGTGTGTCAAGCCCTGCAAAACCTACTGATCCAAGAACAGGAAAGTCTACCGACCCTTCTGTGTTAATGACCACTAAATTGTACGTAATTTTAATATTAAATAGTATACCGTAACTGTATACCGTATATTCTATACTGATACTATACAGTACAATATTGTCGTATTTTACACTGCATTACATTTTTAATTCACAAAAATAGTGATCAAATTCCTGCACAAAATGCTGATCCGTCGGAACCACGAGATCCCAGACTCAGGAATAGGTCGACCACTTCCAGCACTGCCAATAGGTTTGTGTTTTTGAGGTTAAAATGTAATAAATAATAATATTTTGTTTCGAAATAGTTTTATAAGTACAGACTGTGGTGTCTTGAACTGCAAAATTGCTTTCAAACACAATCACAACCAAATCCCTCACATTTTCACTGCACATAATAAAACCACAACAAAGACAGCGCCTACCGATCCCAGAAAACGCAAGCCTACCGTCCCCTCAGATTCATTGACCACTACTTTGTAAGTGACATCAGTATAAGAGTATATATTCTTGTATACAGTATGACAACAATTTTGGGTAATTTGTACCGTATATGTAATTTAGGGCATCGAATGGCGTTCGTTTGTCAGGCACCGGGATGCAAGGGCTCGGATTTGTATGCAGCGACAGTGAATGTGGACAGTTGTTTAACACTAATGAACGCAATGTATTCGTGTTGTACACCCGGGTATTTAATGGCTAGTAAACGCTGTGAACATTGGTTAAGAAACGGTTGCTCAGTCGGGAAGTTATAGTGTCTATATGACAGGTATGCGAGTAGAGTTGGTACAATACCTCTGACCAAACCATGACATACCTGTGCCATTACCCCGACTGTGATAAGCGTTTTCCTGTCGAGATCTTATCGTTACACAAACTTCTCGACCATAAACTACAATACGACTGCAAAAGCAAAGGCTGCCACGAAGTGTTTACCACCGAATTACAGCTCAAGACCCATAACATGACTGTCCACTCGCCGGTGACCAGCTTTGTGTGCGGTTTTATAGGCTGTGGACAGACGTTTGACCACAAATCGGAGTTTATTGCTCACAAAGACACACACCCTCAGCCAATGCAAAGCACTGTATGTACTGATTTAGCACCAGCTCCGGAAATTAAATGCGATATGAATGAGTGCGCCCAGGTATTCAAGTCAGTCTTTGATCTTCATCTCCATAAGGCTGCCATCCATTACGACTCTTTCACTCCTCACAAACGAATGGACCATAAACTGCAATATGACTGCAAAAGCAAAGGCTGTCACGAAGTGTTTGAAACGGAATTACAGGTTAAGACCCATAGCTTGATGGCCCACCGGCTGCGGTATACGTGCCATTACCCTGGCTGTGGACAGGCGTTTAACTCACTGTTACAACTGAGTGATCACAAGAATGAGACGCATAGTGAGAGTCCGCCGCCAATGGTTAGGGCTGTTGAGTGCGAGTACGCCGGTTGTGGGCAAGTGTTCAAAACGGTGTTTGAATGCAATCTTCATAAGCTAACTGTCCATAACTACACAACTCTACAACTATTGGCTAATCCAGTAGTGGAGCCGATGCCCAATACATCGGCCGAACTCTTGCCAAACAAATGCGACGAATGCCGGCTTGGGTTCAAAGAGCTACAGGCGCTCATCAATCATAAGATCGCTGTTCATAACGCCGATCCGTTCACATGCGGGAAGTGTGGTAAACGGTTCGCGAAGGAAGTGGAGCTGGAAATACACGACAAAAGTATTCACATTTCGGGTACAATACGATTCAAATGTGCGAAATGCGGCAAAAAGTTCATTAGCTCGGGCGCTATGGAGGGACACCTAAAAGTTGTTCACAAAGTGGTGGTCATAGACGCAAAACAGTGTAATATCTGTGGCCGAGTGCTTAAGTCCGTCGAGGGTTTGTTGACCCATAAAAAGGTTAAACACCCAGGTCATGCCTGAATCATAATTACCGGTAGTTATAATACTCTAATGCTTAATAACTTTTTGAACAAATGTTTAAAATTTGTATCCTTTAATTGAATTCTTAGTGATTTCTATTTGTAATTAATACACTGTTGTATTGTACTGTACTGTACTGTATCCTGTGATTATTGTATCTAAATACGTGTTTTCTAAATTTAAATGTGATTTACCGGTAATTAAAAAAATGATTTATAGTACTGTATATGTTACGATTGATTACTTAAATGAATCTTTTAATATAAACTATTTCTTAACATTTTCTTATTTATTGTGTTATTAAACATTTTGTGTATTCGTAGTCACAATAAATTTTGCCATTATTAATAATTAATTCAGTAAATAATGAAATATTTGACTGTAAAGTTTTATTGTGGAATAGATTTTCAAATACTTTTACTTTAAATGGGAGTAAACTAGTGAAGTTCGAGACATATGTCCTGAAAATAAATGACTTGTTTGGCATATTCCCATGCCCGGCACATGCCCAGGCATATGCCAAATTCATACACATCCCCTTCAGTCCTGAGCTAGAAGTGTTCACTTTTCCCATTAACAAACAATGTTACTCTTTTTAGCCATTTATGGGTTAAAAAGTGTATGTTATTAAAAATATG